TTTAATGGAAATTACTTAACTAATTAAAGAATTGAAAGAGAACACTTGTATTTCTATTTATTGTATTCAATAATTTGAAAGAAATAAATATCAGAGACAGTGAAGATTGCTGAGTTTATTGACTTGTATAATAACAAAAATAGAGAAATATAGTAGTAGTAAGAGATGAACCCTTGGCTAGGATTTATAAGGAAACCAAGCTGACAAATAAATTAAAAGCTCGCGAGCTTACTATAGAATTCAGTAAAAACTAGATTCATGTACGAGATAAGTCCAAATTTGAACGCCATCGGATGGATCAGTTTCCTTCAAAGATTAAAGTTAATAGCCTGTTAATTTTCCTCTTAAAGAAAAGCGAAGGTACACATTAAACGCTACGTTCTACTCGCTTTCGGAGAAATAAAATCAATGTCGACATTGCTTACATAAAGGAATTCATTTGAAATGGAGTCGGGTAAGTAAAACCAAATACACTTAAATCCAAACAATTTTAGTAGTACGAATTCCTCCATTTTCCCCTGAATGCTTCACACGCAAAAAAACGGAACTCATCGAAAGCTTGTGTTCCAAATCTCAAGTGATTCACGCAGACAGTCGTCTTTTTTAAGAGTAATTGCGTGATTTTTAAAAACTAATTCGCTTGTAAAAGTTCCTTTATTTTTCTCTGATTAACTTGATTCAACAACCGCACTCTAATCACATTACTGACCGTAAGCTTGTATTGAATTTGATTATTCGTTTCAGCAACCTCCATTCAATTTTTTTTGTTTAGTATTTCTCCGTCCTGATACTTGACACACATGGCAGAGGTCTCATTTAAGATTGTTTTGAAGCAATGACAATGGTTTTTATCTGACCGATAGAAGTCAAGGGGCTAATTCTTCAACAAAATCCGACTGTTTTTTTTGTTTTTGGTTACTAATTATTCCAAACGAATCGAGCTGAAATCAGATTATGTTCGTCCCCTTACGAAAATAATTTTCACCCAAGCTATCAAATATTGGTTTGCACTTGAGCCAAAGACTTGAGTTTAAAGTGTACCTTCGCAACTTATCATTAACTTACAGTTCTACCTTAGAAAAGCATGAAGGCTTGATTCTAATCCATTCACTTGTCCATTTTCCAATTTGATTTCATCTCGGTCATTTATTCACTTGCAACTTTGATTTCAATCCAGTAGGCCGTCCATTTTCGAGTGAAATATCCGATTCCAGGAAGGTCGTCCAGAAAGAGTCTGATGCCTTTGTTCATCAGTGTACCCCGTCATGCTTCAAGTCTGTAACATTGTCTGATGTCTCGGAATGACTTGGTAAGATGACCTGGATGGTCCTGTGCTCTTCATGGTCTTGTCCTCTTGATCCCGTCCCTGCTTGTTTTGAAGCAGTGCACATCAGTTCTTTTGCCTGTTATGACTCAAATTTATAAATCAGTCTTTATATTTAGCTGTTTTTCCAGACTGTTTTAAGCTTGCATTGTCGAATCCCCTCCTCAAAAAGCCCAAACTTGATGTTGAAGCTTTTTCGAATTTTCGTCCTATTTCAAATTTGATGTTTATGTCTAAACTTACTGAAAAGGTGGTGGCATCTCAGTTGATTAATCACATTTCTAGTAACGGACTTGATGAAATACTACAATCTGCATATAAACAATTTCATAGTATCGAGACAGCTTTAGTCAAACTTTTTAATGACATTATTCTAGGCGTTGATAGGAATAGAAATGTTATCTTACTTTTATTAGATCTATCGGCCGCTTTCGATATGGTTGATCACACTATACTGATTGGGAGCTTAGCTAACCGCTTTGGTCTTTGCGATCTAACTCTGGCCTGGTTTAAATCATACCTGAGCGACAGATCTCCTTTTGTGAGCATTCGTGGTGCGCGGTCTGTCACGCGTTCGCTGTCGTGCGGAGTACCACAGGGTTCCGTGTTGGGACCGATTTTATATCTGCTCTATACCTTCCCATTGGGGGATATTGTCAGGCAATACAACATGGGCTATCATTTCTATGCTGATGATACTCAGTTGTATCTGTCTTTCAATTCTCTCAGTGGGGATGATCAGGCTTATTCTGTCGCTCGGGTTGAATCTTGTGTTAGAAATATCGACCGTTGCTTGTAACGAACTTAAGTTGAAGAGGGACAAGACGGAACTGCTCGTTATCAGTTCAACATATCGGCCACGCCCATCTTTGGACAGTATTCTGGTTGGTGATCTTCGTGTTGAGCGGTCTGACAAAGCTAAGAACATAGGAGTGGTTTTTGATGAAACTTTGTCACTGGATAGGCATGTGAGTTCCGTTTGTAAATCTGCTTTATTCCATCTTTGGAATATCGCTAAGATCAGAATGTATTTGACTTCTGAGAGCACAAAGACCCTCGTTCATGCTTGTTATTTGTCGTCTGGACAATTGTAACTCGTTACTCCTCGGGTCACCCAAGGATATGATTCAGAAGCTCCAGCGCGTTCAAAACTGCGCTGGACGCCTCGTAGCTGGGCAACCTAGGACTGCACACATTCGCCCCGTCCTTAAGTAGCTACACTGGTGACCTGTGGAGCAGCGAGTTACCTTTAAAGCATTACTGTCAACTTTTCAAGCTCTCAGTGGTCTGGCGCCTCTGTATCTAAGTCAACTTATTGTCCCATATAGCCCTACAAGAAATCTTAGGTCAGCTTCAGCTAGCAAACATTTATTAAAAGTACCGAATGTGCGCCTGAAGAGCTATGGGGACCGGGCCTTCTCGGTCGGTGCCCCAAAGCACTGGAATGATATTCCCTTAGACATTAAATTAAGTCGATCATTTGACGTCTTTAAATCTAGATTGAAAACTTATCTTTTCAGACTTGCTTTTAATTGATTTTGTCTTGGTAAGATTGTTAGTTAGATATTTAATAGATTGTAAAGCGATATAGAGCTTTTGTATATACCGCTATTGAAATAAAGTTATTGTTGTACATTTTCCACATGTGACTTGACGTGAAATTAAAGACACCTCCGTAAAGAATCACTGCCTGATGAGAGAAAAACTGGTTAGGCCAACTCTCCAACACTAGATTTGTATAAAACCTAAATTTTATCGCCTCGTCAAAATAAGAATAAATCGGTCGTGAATATCTCCTAAAATAAAAGGTAGTGAATACTGCGTTTGCACAAGATAGTATAAAACGCTTCCACTTATGTGTAAACTCATCGTTGAGATAGTTTCATCACAATTTGATATAGAACATGTTAATATAATGAGAACCATGTTAATTTTGAACAACTCCCCACCAACTCAAAACAAATGTTTTCTTTAGGATCACAGTTAAGTAAGTAACGGAAAACTTGTATACATAGAAATGTTCCGAATATCCTTCCGCTGCCGAATAAAAATAATTGAACTTTAAGAATTCTTTAAAGCTGTCTCATGCTTTCATGATTTTGACAAAGGCCAAATCATAGAACAAAGTGCTATGGTGTTTAATTAAGTCCTCATTGGATGATTTCAGTTTGAAGTATTTCTCGAGCACACCAAGATATTGCGGCCCATTCGCTGTTTCAGTCCTTGTTGAAAATAAAAACGAGGAAAAATTTCTGAACTTTCAAAGAAAACACAAGATAATTTTTCTCAAGATGAACTATCTTTCGCCAGAATAGAACTCAGTTCATGAATTTTGATTACCTTCGAAAGCAATGAATCGCCAATCCACCATTTTGAGTGTCATCTTGTCGTCATATGTTGTACCTTCGTTTGCAGAATTAGGCGCCATTTGCGAAGTTAACACTGGCAGGTACACGAAGTGGCCATTTTGATATCGCTCTTGTCCTCGCCAACAGTTTTAGTAGTTTCATTTTAATCCTATACCTTGTAAAACTAAGTTGGAAGTCCTAAACCGTAGCTGACCTTTCCACACCCGAACAACGTTTCAGTAACACGTACAAGTGGGAGAAAATCATGAATAATAATAAGAAAAGATTTGCGATTCACATAGGTTAGCGGTCCAACTTTGAGCATGGGGGATTGCAGGAAAACTAGTACTAAGTATAATTTTATCAGTACAAAAGTCACATTTCTTCTTTACTTTTACGCTTTAGAAATGTTGACAGATTTCAAAACCAATGTCATCTTTAAAAAAAGACAAATCTGTCGTTTTGCCATAGAAATCGCAATCTCGAGAAGTACTAATGGAAATATGATTTAAATTTGGACTGAAGAGCTCAGAGATTTTTTTAAAACCTCTCCTTTTTCCTCAGTAACTGTTATTTATTAGTACTGGTAAAAAAGATCATCATGAGATTGTAGAAAAGTTCAAATTATTCAACTTTTTCTCCAAAATTTGTTACATGGCAGTGAAAATTAATGTTTGCATTTACAAGCAGCCTCGATTTCGGGTTTCCGTCAAACTGTAAAAAAACAAAATTGCATGTGTCAGCATCTTTGGTAACGAAAGTGGCTTTTTTATTTTTGCTTTTTATTCCTTTCTTTTTTTTTTTTTTTTCTTTCTCTTTTGTCATAAGAAAGGAATACGCTTGGGTTGAATCAAACGAGCAAAAAATACCAAAGAGAACATTTCACGCATGGATTCGCGTGACATGTAACAATGTTTGGTAACGCATGGTACAATTAGTCACGCTTGGAAAAAAATAATTAATTTCTTCTTTCCTTTAGTAAGCACCTTGATTTAGTTTTCTCTTCCCAGCACTTGATGAAAATCAGGAACTCTGAACAAATTGATATATTGCACATTCAATAATGCTCTAAATTCAGTTCATAAAGGAATAGCGGAGGGGATTTAAAGAAAACACAGCAATTAAGTTCACAGTAATTAACATATAGTCAAACCTACCAGGAACAACCTTTGATATGCTAAGTGACTTCAATTGCATCTTTGAAATAACTTGGCAGCTCCCTACCTGACTTGGTTGACTTTGCCCTCAGGCTGGAGTGTTAAAGCACTCGGAACATCCCGGCACTAGCGACGACCTCAATCAGAATAATTTATTTGCAGTTAACCTGATAAGATCTGTTTGTTTGCTTTATTTCTTATTCAGTTAAATGCCCCAATTGAGGTTGATTAGGATTTTCCAGCTACGCTCTTACGCTATGTCAACTTAATTTGATAGTACATGTTCATGAGCTCGCTAAGATTATCCCAAACTTGGAAGACAAAACGGCTTTTATCGGTGTTTGCTCATATAGAACCCAGTTTAATTTTAAATTCTAGACACTAGTTCTGTGTTCTGGTGAAGTCAATAGTCATAATCATCACAAGCTAAAACCTATTTGGAACAACAAAAAAGAATCTGGAATGAACTAACAAGTAAAGAATTAACCAATCAGCTACCTTTTAACTAGATAAGTTGGCTTGTAAGACCCAAGAAATAAAACTGTCCATCATCAATCCGTAATGAGACAGCTCATCAAAAACAAACTCATGAAGTACAAAGTTTTACAAATTTTACTCTCACAAGGACGCGACATTGACGAAGTATTTTGATTTTATTATCACGGCTGTGCTACGGTACAAAAACGAAAAACTTCCACAGTCATTTTTACAGTTATAACTATACCACTTATACTTCCAATGTCTAACGAACATTGTACAGTAAGGGCTGCAAAGTATTCTGACAACATTTGTTTTTTTTCCTTTCTCAACTTTTGGAGGGAATAGAAACATCATGGACGCCATCTTTATCGACTATTCTGACGAAGAAATCTGGGAGACGAACCAAGAAACGCCTTTGTACCTAAGGAAGACAAACGAAGATAAACATTGACCAATGGCTACACCTTTACCTATGGGTCGGTTACCGGACACTTCGCCGACATGTCAGTTCGCTGTCAGCCACCTCACCGACACCATCAGTCAACTCACCGACACCACCAGTCAATTCACCAACACGCCGGCGTCAACTCGCCGACAACTTCGGTTTGTATTTGCTGTTTGTTCAAATTAATCCTTGACTTGACTGACAGAAATACAATCATGACATCGGCGAAGTAACCGAAGATTTCAACAGAGGGACCGATATGTAGGCGAGTTGACCCAAAGGTGTCAGCGACTTGGTTTTCGGTGAGTTGACCTGTCGGCGAAGTGACCGGGTACCCTGGGAGGGAGCTCACATGGACCGATAAAAACGCACCCTTAGATGAATGGGACATTAGACTAGTGTAAAAAGTATGGTCGCCAAAATAATTACATTGAATACCATGAAGCTAAGAGCTTAGCAAAAATAAAAAAAATAATCAATTGACGAAAGTTTTCAACATTCGTGTAATTTTCAAGAATCATTGTTTTCTTGTGACAAGGTTATCATCCCTTGGTAAATATTACCTCTTCAATGCATTTCTTGAGAAGCTCCGTAGCCTCTTCGCGGCTTAAACCTAGTTTAAAAAGAAAAAGAACATTTAAAATTTAACAGTTTCAAAAATACGTATTCTTGAGAGTAGCTCTCGCTAACTTTAGCTTCAAACAAAATATCAGGCAGAGACAAAGACAAATAACTGGACAAAGATACTTACACATCCTGTATTTATAAAATCAATCAGGATCAATGTCAACATGCGAGCAATTGAGTACCTATCCATCCCCTGACCAAAATAACAGTCAACCGATAATAACTTCAGTTTAATGTGTGTTGGGGAGGGGTGGGTGTGCAGCTGCTCAGATACCAACAATGATTCATTATTTACATATTCTCCGCTCATTGTATCGTTGGAAATATTTGGATTTTGGATTTTTCCACAATGACTCATCTGCAGGGTGGCTTTTCATCCTCTGTTTATTTTATTAATTGCACATAAATCCTTGTTTATCTATTAATATATTAATATCTATTAATATATTATTAATATATTAATATATAATATTAAAACAATATTATTAATATATTATTAAAATATAATATTAATATAATATTATTAATATATTATTTATCTATTAATATTTTTTGTATGTACATGTCATTGAGCATTGAATTGTTTCAAGCTGTACAATCCAGTAAACGATCAGCATACCTGGTTTGTAATAACGATCCAAGATACTCAGGGAGAAGAATGATCCATAACCATGTGCAGCAAATGGAATCTGGAACAAAAAAATGTAAATATCAAGCACATGCATAGATCAAAATAATTTGACAACTACCTTAGGTGTCTTTCATCTTCCCTATTTGTTATACCCCAATATAGTAAGTAAGTAAGTAAGTAACAACTTTATTTACAGAGGGTAACACATAACAGTTAAAAACTGACGAACCAGTGGCCCTCTATCCTAAGTTAAAAGTCAAAAACTATTTAATTAATTTAATTTAATTTAGTTTAATTTAGTCCATTTTCACTGCATTAAGTTTTGCAGCAGGGAAGGACTAGAAAGGAACATTGGAACCATTCGTGCTAGTCCACCCTCCCACCCATCCCACCCCAGGGGAGGACATCCATC